TTATACCCTAACAAGATCAATTAATGAAAACTTCAGCCATGCTTTCAATCTTCCTCTCAAGGATTTTAAAAATTTAATTTACAATAAAAATTTTGATTAAAAAAATCTTTTCCAAGCATGCAGAAATGCACATGACAAATTAATTTGGTAAATGCTTTTAAACAAATCAAAAAAATTGCCAAGCTTTTATTCTAGCTTTCCTTTGTTTTCCAAAAGTAGGTGTCATCTTTCAACCAGCTCCAACATATAGTACAAGAGATTTGTGTTCACTATACTTGCATGTGTAATGATGCTGGTATAATTTGCAGCAGATGTACATTTGGGGAGAAATTATTTTCTTCAGAATCTATTTGTGTGGGAGGATGAAGTATGGTTATAAGGAAGGTGCTGTGGGAGCTGAATGACTTTGCATCTCAAGTACAGGTGCATTTGGGTGTAACTTAAACATAGTTTGCAATCTCTGTAAACGGAGCATTTAGAACCAATTACACTTGTCATTCACCTTGCAAATACGTCTATCTAATTTAACAGCATATGCAGTAAGCAGAAAAATAAAGGATATTATATTAGCTGACAGCAGAATAGAGGTGTGGATATCAGCATCTGTATCTATTGCACATTTGGCAGACTTCTGAACCAAAATACAATGAATTCAAATAGCAGCCTCCTATGCCCTTCCTCCCTGCTGCATCAGAAGCCTCCTGTCAGATGTAATTTTCTCCAGGAAGAAATGCATCTAGCTGAGACTTTCCCAAACCCGTCCAAGTGATTTGGACACTCACTTCTCATTAGCATTAACAGCAAATGGGCATCAGCATCTCCTAAATGCCTTTGGAAATATCTGACACATTTTTCATGGCTGTTAAATGACTCTTTGGGCAACCCACACTAGAAATGACAAATTTCATATTTTTTTTCCCCATACTCAGATATTCATACTGTCCATGTAACAAACATGATGATTTTCCCTCAAAAAGACAGCTGAGATGTGGTAAGGAGAGACAGGCTTTGGCTATGTTTGGATTAAAGGACAAAGTTCACATTCCAAAACTGTCTCCTCAGCAGAGGGCTGTATATACGGATTTCAGGATAATACCACATTCGTTGTCATCTTTTTGTCACAGCTCTAGGCAGGCATGTCACTGCGATGGGAACAGGGATGCAGAAGAGTTACATGGCTCTGTGTGTCATATGCACTGAATCACTCGTGTTGTCCTGGAGAGCGCTAACATGCAGGGAAAGGAAAGGGGAACTTCTGTCCATACACCTGATAACATGCCCTACGGAAGGGAACAGCAATTCTTTTGAGATCAAAATTTTCAGCGTTATATCTTGGATCATGCTTGGTCCACTTACGTTTCCAGAAAATACACTTCCAGTCCATAAGAAGAAAACATGAACTGAAGACGAGCATACTTTTGTAAACTGACAATGGATTATATTCTCCCCTCTCCCCCCCAAACTGAGGGCCTGAAAGAGGCTTCTAAGATTCATTCCTGTTCCATCCAGCATCAAGCGAAACGTAAGTGGTGTGCAACCACTGGGGCACTTGACCGGTACATGGAAAATTGCATCCGTGTGAATCTGACCACGAAAATAAGTCAGTCAGGTAGAAACTCTTCAAACCTTAACAAGGCAGAAAGCCTTGTAAGCCACTTCTCAAACCAAAGGTATTGTGAATCCTTTCAGACTGAGCTGCCGTCTACCAGTCTGGCTGACTTCACCATTATGCCTGCAGCATCTTTTCCTTTTGAAGCCCTAACAAAGTCAGTCTCACCAACAAATACATATGCAAATAAGTCATATTGAGATCTGTAACTTCCTTACACGGCTTCTCAATCTGTTATTTAACTGACATCACTTCCCTTTTCTTCAAATACATTTCATGTATATATGCCTGTTTTCTATAATCTTCTCCATTTCTCTTATCTCTTATATTTTAATAAACCACATGTCCAGATTCAGTATCTTCTTTAGCAGCCATATGGGAAGATATACTTGTTCATTGCAGTTATTAAAATTCTAAACCTCTTCCTCTCTTTATTTGATTTCAGTGAGATTTTGGATATTTTCTCAATACCAAGAAGATTAGATTCATTGGAATGTAACTTTGAAAGAAGTCTTGCATCAAGACTTTTATTTCAGTTCAAAACCACATCAATTTAAGGTATCCCCGTAAGATCTGGACAAGGTGAGCCTTTTTTCATGAACTATTTTCAACACTGGTTTAAGATGAAACAACTAAAAGTTATTTTTTCTTCTTAACATTAAGAAAAAAAAAAAAAAACATAACCTTGAGACCATTAATTCACTTTCACAGAGAATTTTGGCTCCTGACAAGACTCCTGATGGCCACTTTGCTTAAGCAAGGACAGACTTCAACTTTTATATCCTACTTTTTTGGCATTATCTTCTCTGTATGAATGAAATAAACTACTAATAACAGAGTTCTACTCTCCTAGGGTTTCTCTACTAGTCTCTCATTGATGACTGACACACAAAGAGGCTCATCTGAGCAATTTCAGTATTAGCTACCAAGAGAGACGGGCAGTGATTCCTCACTGGTCCTTTGAGAAACAGCACTCATTTGTCTCCCAGTTTTCTCTGGGCTTCCTGTGAAATCAGTGTTGTGTAGTTCTGTGGAAAGGTGCTCACCAGATATATTGCTCTATTCACAGCCATTTAAAAATACATCTTAGCCAAACTGGGAGCTGGAGTTTATTCAAATAAACTGTAAAACCCAAAGTAATTTTAATTCTTCCCCTGGCAAACGTATTTTCCTGCTCAGAAGAGCAGCAGATGCACATTGCAACTTCAGGGATATGAAGTTTCTACACGGAAAACTTAAGAGCAGTGACCAAAACGAGACACCTTCAGTACCATGCCAGTTTAAATGTTTCTTCCACCTCCTAATGTCATCTCATGCCTGCCAGTCACAAGCAGCTCAGAAGACACAGTTTCAGCTTTTCATGGATTCCTTTGGTGACAATGCAGATGAACACCAAAACTTCAGCAACACTGTTCCAGAGAAAGAGAGCTGGAAATAAGAGTATTCTGGCTTTGCTACTGTTATTCCCAGGCATTTCAAAAGCAACCAAACATCAGTTGTGCTGGCTTCCCACCGAAGAAATTAATATGAAGCTCACACTTTGTCCCTGCAGCATTCTGCCACCTACCTGTGCTTACTGCTTTTCATCATGCGCTGGGGCATCCATCTTCTGTCTCAGCACGGCGCCCTGGAGGGGAGCCCTCCTCCTTCACTTACCTGTCCGCAACGCTACCTGAACCCCTGCAGACTGAGGAGAGCCAGAAGGCAATTCATCTCACCCTAACGCGTGCCTCTGAAATGCCCTCTGCAGGTTCCTCTACTGATCAGAGACACGGCTTATTTTAGATCATGTTGCTGACTTTTAAACAGTAAAAGTTAGGGAAGCAAATCCTACCGCTGAGAGGTTGCTCAGCAGCCTTATTTAAACCAGATAATGACGCACTGCAATTATTGGGGGCCCAAATTCATCCTTCCTTTCCATCTCTTTTACCAGGCTCAAAACCACAGTGACTGAGAGAGGACACCAAAGGGAACGATGCCATGAACACCACATTGTGCTCTGGGCTCCCTGCAAGTTCTCTCAGAACAGCGTACCCATGTGTCTTCCAGGGCTTGATGTGTTTCTTCACTGATAGGAGATCACTGTTATGCAAACTGTTACACCAAACACCATTGATTCTGTAAATCATTTCTCAATGGCACATCTTTTCACAAAACAATTTGAACAATTAAAAAATTAACCACATTAAACTTCCACAAATACCTTTAATCCGAGTCTGCCGAATGCACGGTCCTGAAGTCAAACGTTTGCAGCCTTTTGTTCAGCACTTTAAAGCTGATGCATAGCACCATATGGACACCAGCTATGTAAAGTCAGTAGCAGTTCTGTGAGCAAAGTTTTCGTCCCTATCCACAGCTCCAAAAAAGCATGGTTGGTATAGCTGGAGGTTGCTGTGTTAAAAAATTGAGGAAGACTGCTTGTAGCTCATCTCGTGACTAGCTGGAGGCTGGCAAAAAGACTGGCACAAGCCTGAAGTCAGTTCTATGCCCTGCACCCCATACTTTGCCTTAGCCATGAGGAACAATAGAACAGATAGAGGTTGGTCCAGCCACGACAGGCAGCACAGTGTCCTTTTCCTGCACTTTCACCACAGAAATGGGTATGGCTGCCACCTGCAGAGAGCCAGCAGGCAGACCACGGGCACATGCCACTTTGCACTGAGATAAGGGCCACTTTTGAGGAGCTGAGGGGCCAGTGCAGTACCTCAGGGCCCGGGCAAACTGTGGGAGAGTGCTCTGTGTGAGGAAGGCAGGCAGGGGACAGCGCCCCAGCCCCACATAGACACAGCATGGTGCTTCTGGAAGGCCGGTTTCACCAGGCCAGGCGGTTCAGCAGCGCTGCAGGCTGGTACAGACACGGCACAGCACAGCACGGGTCCCCTTCTGAAGGCGAAGTGACACAGCAGCACCTCAGACCCGCACAAACACCATATAATGCTCTCGGAGGATGAGTACTGTGAGGCCCAGGACAGGGCAGCGCCTCAGACCCATGCTGAGGCACCACAACGCTCTGAGGGGCAGTTCCGACAGCCGGGCAACACAGCAGCACCTCAGAGCCGCATACCCCAAACACCAAAACCCTCCCAGGGGACCCGGCAGCACCTCAGGACCAGCACGAAGGCGGCGCAGCGCTCTCGACAGGCTCAGCGGGACAGGGGACATCGCCTCAGACCCGCACCAAGATGGCGCCGGGCCCCTGCCAGCCGCCCGCGTGGCGGCATCGCCTCAGCGCCGGCAGGGGCGGGAAACGCGAGGCGGGGCCGAGGGCGGGAACGGGCGCGAGGCGGGCCGGAGGCGGGAAGCGGCGCGAGGCGGGGGGGCGGGGCCCGCTGCTGGGGGGCGGGGCCAAGCGCCGGGAGCCTCTCAGGGGCTGTCGGTAGCGGCGGGGCGCATGCGCGCTGCGCCCTACGGAAGCCCGGCGGCGGCAGCGCCGGTTGTGGGGCCCTGAGGCGCGGCGGGTGTGGGGCCCGTGAGGGGAGCGCCGGGCACCGAGCTCGGCCCCGGGCGCCCCCGCCCCTCGCAGCGCCGCCGGCGGGGCCCGGATGCCCGTTGGCGGCAGGGCTCTGGCCCAGGCTGCCCGGCTGCTCGCTCGCGGCGCGGCCCTCGGCGTCTGCCGGCCGCCGCTCTCCTCAGCCGGCAGCCCTCGGGGCTGGTTAGCGGCGAGCGCGGCCTCCGGAGGCCTCCCGGGGGCCGAGAGGGGCGGCGGGGCCCGAGGGGGGATCCCGGAGGTGACCGCGGGGCCGGCGGGGGGCTGGCCGGCCCCGGGGGGGGGGATGGCGGAGCAGCGGTACTGCGTGGACTACGCCAAGCGCGGCACGGCCGGCTGCAAGAAGTGCAAGGAGAAGCTGGTGAAGGGCACGGTGCGCATCGGGAAGATCGTGCCCAACCCCTTCACCGAGTCCGGCGGGGAGATGAAGGAGTGGTACCACGTCAGGTGCATGTTCGAGAAGCTGGAGAAGGCCCGCGCCACCACCAAGAAGATCGAGGACATCACGGACCTGGAGGGCTGGGAGGAGCTGCAGGACGAGGAGAAGGAGCTGATCCAGAAGCACATCGCAGGTGAGGCACGAGGCAGGGCCTGCGCCGCTTTTCAGCCCTGCTCGGTTTTTAAAACGTGCCACCTGACTGCCACACGGCCATGCATTTACTGTGCAATCCTTACTGACTTGCTGGTATGATCTCATAAAAAGGTGGGTAGTGCGCTGTGTCTGATCTGTGCCTTACCCCAAAGCAAAGGAAGAAGTAGACACTTCTGGAATCGCACTTTGTAATTTCTTTTGTCGCAACTGACTGTGCAGAAGATCTAAGTGACTTATTCCACATATAGATGCTTAAAGTTTCAGATAAATGTCACAAGAAAGCTTCAGTTATGCTCCAGTTTTATCTTTTTTCATCTTTTTAGTAAGTTATGTAGTTTTTTAACTTCTGCTGTCTGTGAAATGCCCCTCCATCCCCAGTTGTTTTAGGACATGTTTACACTTGTTATACAAGTATATCTTGTATAGGTTGAGGGATGTACAATATTATTTCTGACTGCTGGATCAAACCCTTACATTGCTGTTTTACAGAAGCTACGTCCAAGGCTGCAAGTACGCCGAAGAAAAAAGCAACAGTCCAAGCTAAGCTCACTCCCACAGGACAAATAACCAGTCCCTCGAAGGACCCATTAGCTGCTGTCAATCCGAAGAAGTTCTCTGGCTTCACAGGTAGGACTTAAAAGAAACTGACTCTGGGAAATACTTTTCTTCCGATACTAGTGTCAGAAGCTTTTTAACTTGACTTAGTTCAGTCACTTTTTGCTTTGTAGAAGGTGGTTTAGTTTTAAATGTTTTTTATCAAGTTTGCCAAAAATTCTGACCGCCTTTGTAGGCTGTCAGATTTAAAAGGACTGATGCTTGCATTTCTAATATTCCCAAGGAAACACAGTTAATGCAGTAACCCACATCGTCAGACTGACTCCAGCACTATTTCTGCACTGGCTAATTTCAGTCGAATTGTGAGGGTACAGACTAAAGATAGCCCAGGTAGAAGAAGAGTTGGAGGTATGGGGAATATGAACCTGTGGGAAACCAGGCTCAGCTCTATTGCTAGTGGACTAAGTTGTTTTACTGATTGTTTACTTTGATCACCAGCTTATTTCTGACAAGTGCTTGACAGATGTCAACAAAAGAGTTCTAAAACGCAGGAATTTTTTCCTGCATTTTAGCAGTGATCTTAAGCAAACATGCTTCTGTGAAGGAGGAAGACCTATAAGATAGAAATCGAACTAGAAGCAGTCTGCCAGCTGGAATTCCTTTTCACCAAGGCCTAATCGTGTTTGGTAGAATTAAGGTCCAGAAAAGTCTCGTGTACTGTGAAGAGTATGAACAGTGGGGAAAAAAATGTGGATTTTTTAACATAAATAAAATTTAAGGTCACAAATTTTGATGCAGCACCTTATTATTCAGTTCCAAAGCTTTGTCATCATGTTGGGATAGTTCTTTTCAGATTGCCAGGCATAGGTGCTCTCATCTTCAAAGTCCTCCCCATGTACATTTAAAAAAACTAAACTAAAATTTGTCTTTCATCCAGCCAAGCCAAAGAATTCAGAAGATGTCCCCGCAAACTCTTCCCACAAGTCTAGCCTGTCTGCAAAAAAAAGTGATCCGAAGCACAAGGACTGCTTGCTGCGAGAGTTCAGGAAGCTCTGCGCCATGGTTGCTGACAAGCCTAGCTACAATGTGAAAACGCAGATCATTCAGGACTTCCTGCAGAAGGGAACTGGAGGAGGTATGATTATTGCGTGTCATTTTCCGCATCTGAAAGCCCTCTCAAAATTAATCTTCCAAGTATTATTGCAAAAGCAAGGGTGAATTAAAATCTGATTACTCTGTAGTCCAAGCTGTTAGCTGTGATGACTTCTGAACTGATGTGGATTAAGTTTTCAACGTGAACTGTTTTTTGAAAAACAAATTCAGATCAGATAAGAATGACTCAGGCCAGGACAGTGGCAAATGTTTGTAAGTGCCATCAAATTTAGTGCTGAAATCAGATTTGGAGGGAAACTGTGGGTGTTTCTCCTGAGAAATGACCTTTCATGTAAAGCAGAACAACGTGGTGGAACAGGTAAGCCCCAGCTGTGTTGTGTTTTCCCCAGACATGCTAACTAGCACAACCAACTGTAGATGAAAATAAATTGTGACAGTTTCTAATCGTGTGTGCTTTTTTCCAGATGGTTTTCATGGTGACGTGTACCTGACCATTAAGCTGCTGTTACCAGGCGTCATTAAAATTGTTTACAACTTGAACGATAAGCAGATAGTAAAGCTGTTTAGTAGGATTTTTAACTGCAGCCAAGAGGAAATGATCCGGGACCTGGAGCAGGTGAGTACAGACAGCAGTTCTCTTCATTTGTGCTGTTCAGTCCCCTGGTTTGGAAATTGTATTCTTCCCCCCTCCCCCACATGAAAGATTGTTAGCTTAACTGCTAGAGTGGGAGACAGTGAATCTTTTCCGGTTTGTTTGTTTTAGCAGTTTTCATAGAGCTTTCTGCCACCTGGAAGCTTTAGAAAATAACAGTTTGAACAGAAAGCAAGACTTGAACTCACCTGCAAAACTTTAAAAAGCAAGACTAAAAAATCTAGGCAAATCAGGCTGCACCTGCTTTGTCTAGTATCTTTCTCTTTTTAAATGTTTCATATTGCTTTTGTTAATATCACATATATCAAAAACTGACTCAATTAACAGACCTGTTCCTATGAGCTCAAGTTGGCTTATGGGATTAGGCTAGGTTTATACTATCGCCAGTGCTTGGATGTGTGCATTTAATTCCCGTGCATAGGAATTGATAATTGATTATACATGCTTCTGATACCATTGCAAGATGAAAAAAGTTGGTTAATTAGCTAATGAATATAATTTTTTCTCTTATCTTTATTGCCTTGGTATATACCGCCTTCTAGAGACTTCACTAGACTGATAGAGATTCTTTGCTTTACAAGAGGATTTATTCTGAGGAAATACAGGGTCTGTGGTTCTGCAGCAGTGTAAATTTAAAAAAAAAAAAAAAAAAAAAAAAAAGGCAGCAATGAGGTGATACTGGTGCTCTTACGTAACTTTTTTTGCAAGTGAAATAGCTGAAAAGATGTACCCTGTGTTGTGGCAACTTCATTCCAATGTTTGGTTACAATTCCTTCATGCAATTGGAGTCATTTACGTGCCCTTTTCTACTTACTGGTGGTGTCTTACCTGTTCTCTACAGTGTAGCTCTGACCCTCATTTTCTTTTTGGAGATAGGGAGATGTCTCTGAGACCATACGCCTCTTCTTTGAACAGAGCAAATCTTGTCCTCCAGCAGCTAAAAGTCTCCTGACTATCCAAGAGGTAGATGAGTTCCTAATCCAGCTATCAAAGCTTACTAAGGAAGATGACCAGCAAAGTGTGCTGCACGATATCACTCGCAGGTAAGGAAACTAAACAGCCTCTGAAGGTTTAGACTAAAAGTAGTAGTGGTTATCAATACATCACAGACTAGAACAGATGAAAAATCAGTCATAACCCACAGAAACTGAACTTTACATCTGTAAGCCACTATCTGTGATTTGATTGACTCCTTGACCTCTGAACAGCATGGAGAAACTTGTATGGCTCCTGTTCATCACAGAGAGAATTTCATCCTTGTCTGTCAAGACATTGTATCAGTACTAAACAAATGGCTTGCAAAACTGCCTTAATGGTACTTAGCTATAAATTAAATTGCTGTTCTAAGTAAGTTGGGAAAAGTCTTTGAGCCATTTGGACAGGTTGAAGATTCTTGGTCTGATGTAGCTTGTGTTGATTTGAAGCTGAGGATATTACTAAACTTACTCTTGATGCGTTAACTAACAGCTTTGGAAGGCATTTCAACACAGAGGCAAAATTAATATTGGCATTCAAATGTGAAGATGCCTTTTGTGTACTCTTGTGCCTCTGTGTTACTAATAAAATACTTACTCCTTTGAGCTTAAACTCTACAGAAGGGAAGGACCTCTTTTTATGGAGGCCTTGCCCAGTTTCCTTTTTTCAGCTGCAAAGTAGTGCAGATAATTGTCTACTATCTCTGAATCTTTTCTCTCACTTCAGATGTACTGGCAACGACCTGAAATGCATCATCAGGCTAATTAAGCATGATCTGAAAATGAATGCTGGTGCAAAGCATGTGTAAGTCCCACCTTTTGTTGTGAGATAAAAGCAGAAGTGGGCATCAGCCTCATAAGCCATGAGCAGCAGACCTGAGATTGATATGTTTTGTTCCTGTCCTTGATTTGTTAAAGGTTGGATGCTTTGGATCCAAATGCTTACGAGGCATTCAAAGCATCACGCAACCTCCAGGATGTGGTAGAGCGAGTCCTGAAGAACCAGCAGGAGGCCGAGAAGATGCCAGGGCTGAAGCGAACCCTCAGCGTGCAGGCCTCCCTGATGACCCCAGTGCAGCCCATGCTGGTAATGTTGGCTCCCCTGCAATGGTGACCTACTGCAGAGGAAGAGATGGAGTTTTCATAGACTCTGTCAGAGACTGTCACCTTTGGGAATAAGTAGACAAGTGATTAAGTGTACTGTGAGCTAATCGTGTAATGCTGATTTTTAGGGATAATGACATTTTTAAAGTGTTTTCTACCATGGGGCCAGTATTTAGTGCAGTTTCAGTGATGCTGCAGAAGCTAAATCTTGACTTGATTTCAGTCCACAAGTGACTTTCCTTTGTTGGTTTCTTTGCTATCATCTCAGAAGTTGATCCTTTCTTCTGAAATGTTGTAAGCTTTTTGTTGGAGATTGTTTATTTTTTGTTTGAACAAATAGGAGTTGAATGTTTTACTTCTGAGCTAAGCACACTCCTACGAAAGGCACAGAACTTGTACCTTTAGGTATCTGGAGGAGATAAACACTGAAAAGCTATAATTACTGAGCATATTCAGACAATGTAAAGTAAATGACTAATTAAGAGAAGGAAAATCTGGACTGGATATCAGAAACCCTGAACAGAAAGATGTAAAAAGGACTTGATCGTTCATTCATGAAATTAGGTAAGAGTAGCTTTGTTCCTAAACATGTCAGCCAAATTTATTTTGAACTTCTCCATATTTCTAAGGCTGAAGCCTGCAAGTCAATTGAGTATGCCATGAAGAAGTGCCCAAATGGCATGTATGCGGAGATCAAATATGATGGTGAGCGAGTGCAGGTCCATAAAAATGGAGATCACTTCAGCTACTTCAGCCGGAGCCTCAAACCTGTCCTTCCTCACAAAGTAAGCACCTATAAATTGCCCCAGCTTTTGTGCCAAATTTTACCCTTCTCCTCCATAAACTTCACAAGTTCCTATAGGCAAGGAAGATACCTTTTGTTGTAGGATTTCTTGTTTAATTTCTGCAGATACTTGAATCTGGAAAAGTAACATTTAATAGAACTGTAATCAATTTGTTTTGGTGGTTGTTAAGCCTTGAAACTACAGTTAACTTACCTGCTTTCAAGTCTTCTTTGTGCAGTGCATTTGGGTTGACTTGATGCCAGCTGAGTGACTTTGTTATATTTGTACAAGTCTCCTTTTTCTATTTATAGACTGCGCTAGTAGTCCGTGCTGTAGTAGAAAGTAAAGTTAGTGCAGATATGCATACACATGCTTCAGACGCTTCTGCAGAGAACATCTGCATTGGAGTGAGTCCATCTCTTCAGTCAGTAGACATTTTCTTTTCTTTTTTTTTTTTTTTTTTTCTTTTTCTCCCTCAAGGTAGCACATTTTAAGGACTTCATCCCCCAGGCTTTCCCTGGCGGGCACAGTATGATCCTGGATTCGGAAGTTCTTCTAATTGATAACAAAACTGGCAAGCCACTTCCTTTTGGGACTCTTGGTGTGCATAAGGTAAAAAATAAATATAAAATGAATCCTCTTTTGTAGTTGGAGGCTGTAAGGCTGTTATTCTGCTGACTTAAACACACTAGCATGTGTTCTGTTATCACAGGCTAATTTAAGAGATCTGGTGCTTACTAGAGAATTTGGAAAAAAATAAGATCCCTGAGAAGCCTGATATTAAAGAAAAGGTACTGTTATAATACAATAGATTTGATATTAACTTAATCACAAGCAAGATAGCAAGAGACTTCAGCTCAAGATTTAAAAAAGAAAAAAACAAAAAAAAAACCTTGGAAGATCTTGCAATTCTGTCATTGTTTATAGTTGCCCGTAGCAATATATAGCAGATGAGAGGACAGAATGATGCAGATATATGTGTAGTCCATATAAGAACGTCTAGATTAAATAGCATTTAGGATGAGGACAGTAAAGTGACAATTAAACTGTAAGTATTTCAAGTTAAAGGAGACATTAATCTGAAGTCTCTGGAATGCTTGTTTTGTTGTTGTTGTTATTGCAGCAGTAGTGATGGATGTTAGCTTGCCCGAAGTCATTCGTATTTGTTATTTCTCTGTCAATAGGAAATTAACATGTTTTATTTTCTTTGTGCTCTGATGCATTTGGTCTAAATCTGAAGCCTATGCTTATTATAAATAAAAGATTATAAGATTATGGGGATAAAAATACATCTTTTTTTGTTTCTGTGATTTTTTTTAAACTCCATGCTGCTACGAGTGCAGATTTCTTTTAATTGATCTTAATTGTCTTGCAGAAAGCTGCTTTCCAAGACGCCAATGTTTGCTTGTTTGTGTTTGACTGCATCTATTTCAATGACATCAGCCTGATGGACAGGTACGTGTCTGGCACAGTGTGAGAGTAAGTAGCCTGACAGGTTTCCCAGCATGAACTTGCTGGAATATGCTACCACTGCAGAAGCAGCAGTTCACTTCATGTGTTAAGGCTGCCCGTTTACTCCTGTAAATTCAAGACAGCATGGGGTAATCCTTGCTGTGCTAAGGAACATCGCTATAGTAACTGTATTTCAGCTGAGCTCAGTGGGGTTCAGTACTCAGCTCATCTCATGTCCTCCGAAACTAAACACGCTCTTCTTATAGATTTCTATTTTTATATTTTTTCCTGGAGGAATGTTAAAAGAATTGATTGTCAATTCTAGAACTCTGCAGGATAAATCATTTAGTTATTTAAATAACTTTTCTCACTGTTCATGCGACTGGTACTTCATGTTGAAATTCATTGCATATCCTTAATTATCTATCTCTGTGTTCTAGGCCCCTGCGCGAGCGTCGCAAGTTTCTACATGATAACATGGTTGAAATCCCCAACCGGATCCTCTTCTCAGAGATGAAGCATGTCACAGTGAGTCTGATGTTAATTAAGACAGTACATATGGTGATCTCATAGGCTGTAGTCTTAGTACTTCACTGCCTATCAGTACAGAGTATTTTCTGTTCATGCATCTTCACATTTTCCAAGTAGAAAGCCTGATGACCACAGCAATTTGACAGTCTTGGTCTTTCCATAATTCCTTTCCTTTATAGAAAGCTTCGGATCTGGCAGATATGATCACCCGAGTCATCCGTGAAGGACTGGAAGGACTGGTGTTGAAAGATATAAAGGCAAGTGCCTATTTATTCTTTACTGGTGTATGCTGGGAATCGGGGAGTAAAAACAGAGTGCTCCGTACTTAATTTAGGTTTGATCTAAGCCTTTTTCTGCTTTTAAGAGGTTTTAGACAATGCTTGAGGGAACATGCAGTAACTTTACCTGAATCTCAGTTAATGTCATTTCTTTCCTGAATTTTAGTATTGCTTTTTCTTTGTTCTTCTCTTGGCTGTCTTCTGTCATTAGACAGAACTCCACCTCTCTGAATTTCCTGATGTCCCTGAAATTTCTTGAAGCATCATGTCTGTTTGTATGCACCTGTAGTGATATGGTCCAGCAGGCAGATCACTGAGCTGGTAAACAGAACTGCATTTTAATTACAGCTCTGCTGCTAGTCCCTCATGTGACTGCACTGAGCAAAGCAGAGAATCACCACTTCTGTGAAGTGCTTAGAGGTCTATGGATGAATCATACAAGGCTGGGCGTCCTTGAAACATTTCTGGAGACTTGTATGTGCTGACATCCAGTCCAAGTTGCTCCTCATATATCTGAGCACTTCAGTGCTCTGGTACTGCTAAGTTGAATAAAAGCAGGGGCCATGTGAGGAGACAGGACATCGTTTGTGTGATGGGTAACTTTCTGAGTGAGGGATTCTTGCCTTGTTTTGCACAGGGTAATTATGAACCAGGAAAACGGCACTGGCTGAAAGTGAAAAAGGACTACCTAAACGAGGGTGCAATGGCTGACACAGCAGACTTGGTGGTGCTGGGAGCTTTCTATGGGCAAGGCAGTAAAGGTAAGTCTCTGGAGTTAGTTAAAGTCAGAGATCTGTCAGTTCAGAAGAATCTCAAGCTTTTCCCTACTCCAGGCTTCCTGTAGCATTTGGACTCCTACCATAAGACTGGCTCTCACAGTTACTGTCTGACACAGCTCATCATGTCCCAGGCTACTGCAAGCTGCCTGACTTCACTGTGGCAGAGTTGGCACAGAAAAGCATTAGGTCTTGGGTTGGTCTTTTATGCAGCGCAAAGTCTCTCTGTTCAGCTTTGTGTATGTTCTGATGCTGTGAAGCCATCACAAACCCAAGGTCCTTCAGTTCCCAAAGATGAAAAAGAGTTTTGGTTCTTTACTTTTCTCTTTAAAAAGCTGTGGTTTATCCTGTAGAAGATATGAACTACTGCGCTCTCCCCTCCTACAGGTGGGATGATGTCCATTTTCCTCATGGGCTGCTATGATCCCAAGAGTGAGAAGTGGTGTACAGTGACCAAGTGTGCTGGTGGCCATGACGATGCCACCTTGGCCCGTCTGCAAACAGAGCTGGATATGGTGAAGATCAGCAAGGTGAGATGGTCTCTGGCATGGAAGTGATCAAAGGAATGCTCAGCAAGGGACTTGGTAAAAACCTTCCTCCTGCAGAGCTGCAATTGAGGTGCTGATTAAATGCAGAACTGAAGTGCTCTGCCAGGACTGAATGGTGTCTCAGTTACTGCTCAACTGGGTAAATTGCTCTAAAAACCTACATGAGAACTGAGATGTAGGTACAGCCATCTCCTGAAGATGATGCACTGCCTGAGATTTGTACTCAGACACTGAGTGGGAAGCCAGGCACCATCTGGTTCCTGCCCAAAGTTTTATTGGGAAGAGTAGCACAAGTACCATTTTTTTGGCATACTGCAATCGGTGAAGACAGTCGCTAGATGGGGCTGCAAGTGAGAGATGCTTGTCAGGCTGTTCTTGCGGCTAGATAACCTGAAACGTTGGAGTTAGACTTCTTTTGTGAGTGACTGATAAAGGTGACAAATCTTATTTGTCAAGACCTGACATACAAACAGATGAATTTTAATATTTATTTGATATGTTGAAGGCCATTTGCATCAAGGCTGTAGAATTCTGAAAATGTCTGGGTTTATATGAATTACAATTGGAGAGTAACATGATACTGGTTTTATGTTTGGGATGATAGTAGCTGACAGATGTGTTGCAAGAAGTTTTTATGATCCTCTAGATGAAAGGAACTGCTGCAGCTCCATGCATCTTGCACTGCAAGCTACAGCAAGTTTCATCCATACAAAAGCAATGAAATACGTATTTGCCAATTTGCTATCACATTTTCTTTCAGGAACCTCCTCTGTAGGACTAGGTTCGTACATGATCATAAGTGCTATCATTTTGTGTTCTTAATAGGATCCCAGTAAAATTCCAAGCTGGCTAAAAATTAACAAAATCTACTACCCAGACTTCATTGTCCCAGATCCAAAGGTAAGTGCTGACATTAAATGACTGTTTTCTAGCCCTGATATATCAACTTATTTTTTGTAAGTGTACAGATTGTCACTGTGAGGCTTGAAGCTTGGAACAGGAAATTAAGCACAACTTTTTATCTGAATCTTGCATGTGCATTTGAGGCTAAGAGCTTCATGAGGAAATCATACCTCTAGCACCTCTGGGAAACACTTGTGCATCAAATCCTTCCCAGAAGTGAACTAACTTACTTTAAATAAGCAATTAAAGCACAGTTAAAATGCATGAAACACAATTGTAACCCAGAAGTTACTATTGTTTTTTTTACTAAATTTACCAGTATGCTTTGGGCTGTGTATGTCTGACAGAAAACGTGCTATTTATAAATTGGATTATGTATTGGCTGAGGATCTCTGAGTCATTGGAAGAAAGAAAATAGAAGTTTTTCTAAACAAGGTGCCCAGAGGGTGCTTAAAGAACTCTGTTGTTTTGGGAGGGGAGTAAAACTTTTTTGTGTGTGGGGGGGGGTGTTTTTTTTTTTTTTTTTTTTGGAAGTAGAGGAACACAAATTCATGAGAGAGCACAAGAATGTGACAGTGACTTTCTTCCTTAATACTGTGTTTAGAAAGCCCCAGTATGGGAGATCACAGGAGCTGAATTCTCTAAAGCAGAAGCCCACACTGCAGATGGGATCTCTATTCGTTTCCCTCGCTGCACCCGCATTCGAGATGATAAGGACTGGAAGACAGCCACCAACCTCCCGCAGCTTAAGGTGAGTTAATGTGGTGTGCTTGTCTGCAACACTGTCCGCAAATAAGCTTTGGTAGCAGTCTGTATTTTAAAAGACAAATTCTGATAGGACATGTAATGAAAATACCTGTTAACTAGCGTCTCCAAAGGCATGGTACATTTTCTGATTTGTTCTAGGCTCAGCCTGCTTCCTGGACTATTTTGATATGAATCTTATATTTTCATGGGGCCTCTTGAGTCTCTTGAGCTGTTGGGTTGTGTTGTGCACTTTCAGGAAAGTTGTGCTGGCAGATAGTTGTATCAGCTCTTATAACAGCCTTCATGGTGAGGAATTTCCTTCCTGAAAGAGGTGACCTTACTCTCTGAAGTGGTTATGGTCATTCCATTTCCCGTTAATTGCCTACACTGGGGGAGGCATCTGGGAAGTGACTAAGGGTAGCCTGGCCCAGTTCCATGGCAGAGGGGCCAAATGGCAGCCTGCCTGGATCCCTGCTGCGGCACCCACCCCACACGGCTCCTATACCTCCTTTAGTGATAGGAACCGGTTGGCTTGTTGCCATCCTCAGCAGTAAGTCAGCTGTTGATGAGCTCTGTTCTCAGTCTAGTTATTGTCATTTGGGCTGTCTTCACACTGCCTACAGGGATACTGACAGCAGATGCAAGTGCTTGTTACGCCACTGAAGGAAGGAGTGATTCAGCCCATCTGCTGTCCAGCAATCTTTTTGGCTCTCTGTGCAGGTAGGGGAGAGAAAGGTAAAATACCCTCAGTCAGACTGTTGCCTGAGTGTTGGACAATGGGTGTTGTCTGTTTTTCAGTACAGGGAGCCAGGCACTGAAGAGTTAGTCTGACTTGCTCTGTAACAGGTGGTAAAAATCAGTATGGCTTCCCTTAATGGCAAGTAGCTGGGTGGAAAGCAGAGAGTTTGAACATAGTTGACAGAAAAATGGCTACAAAGAGGTGCTGGAAGAAAAAAACATAAGCACAAACACTTCAGGGGGGTAAAAAAAAAGGGAAACAAGAGGAGCAGATGCATTACTGCTCATGTCCAGTATCTGAGATTTCACTGTGGCTTAAAGGTAATGCTTTGTTTCTGGTGGGACAGGAGCTGTACCAACTCTCCAAAGAAAAGGCTGACTTCAGTGTTGTTGCTGGGGAGGAAGAAGAGTCCACGGCTGGCAGCAGTGGAGAGAATGAGGGAAATTCCAGGTCTTCCACGCCACACAAGACTACTAAAACTCCCCCAAGCAAGTCACCTGCAAAAGCCAAGAAGCCAGAAGGTAAGACAGTACTTCCCAGGGAGAGGAGCCTCAGGATATATTATTTGCCTTCTGTGAGATGCTTGCGGATCCCACGGCAGCTTTTACGTGCATGTCAGGGTTAATAAGCAAAGCTGATTCAACCCTTGGTTTGGCCAGTGTTATTCATAGCATGGGCTGAATAGCCACAGCTTTGAGTTGTGCTGAGACTGGGAAAAGATGCGACAGGACTGATAGGACTGATGATGCTGTTTAAAAGGTTGGTGCTTAGGCAACTCATTCAGACAATTAAAGCTCTCTGAAATAATGCTCTAAAGTAAAGGTATCTTGAACTTTGTAGAGCCTCAGTTATAGTTAGTATCAGAATTACTTTGGTGTAATTTCTTTAGGACTGCAGTCCCTTTTAATCTTTAGATCAAGCTCCTTAACAGAATGTATAAGACTGGTCTGAACAGCAAACCTGCTGCTCCTGTTCCTGCAGATCACGTGCCTTTTGGTTAGACGTTTTTGTCCAAGAAACAGTATTTAATTTTATTTGAAGTTCATACATATAACAGGACACCTGGAGGGGATTTCCAGGTATTAGACTGCAAAGACATGAAATGAATTTGCTTCACCAGTGTGCTCACTGGGGAATAACTTGTATCAGATTTATGAGCAGTCTCAGAAAGAAAGTGTGGTGACAGCAAGACAGAAAGCTGAACAACAGTGTAGTCTTTTGGTGCTGAGGGCAGGAAGGTGCCCTGGGCAATTTGCAGCAGATAAACATGTCTTTCTAGCTATGGTTTAATTCACAGATTTCCCAGAAAGGGGGGGAAGCTTGCCTTTTATGTTTTTCTATCCTCGTTCTTTTCTGCCTACTGTTACTATACAGACAGTATCTAAACAAGATCACAAGACAATTTTTTGTTTTTAGGCACTAAAGCAATCACTGAATCCCCTCAAAAGCCAGAGGAGAAACGAGGAGAGAAGCGAAAAGCATCTGAGATGGATGACAACGGAAAGAAGGTAGGGACAGCTAGGAAGCAAACACGTTGGGGTGGGAAGAAGTTGAAGCTGTTTCAATTGTCTGTTCACTTTTGCCTTCCATCTGGCAAGTCTGAAATCTTTCCAAAGCAGCACCCTAAATTAAAAGGAAACGTTAAGGCAGAAATAGCAACAATGCACCCTCTTGTAGAGGAAAGCAATTTCTGCAGGTGTTCTTCCCTACCTGCAAAGTTGACACAACTGAGTTTGTTACGCTAAAGGTTCTGTTCATCACTCAACAATGTCCTGCTCTACAAAGGCAATGTGCTGTGATTGCTGAGTGGCTGCTCTAGAGTACTACATATAGAAGAGATAGGGAGCTGTAAAGGGAGAGAACCGTCCTTTCTAGCTCATTGTGCAGCAAATGGTGGGAGTGGATTAAGAATCACAAGAGCTGTAATTATCTGATAAGCTTGGAGTAGCTATTTGCTACTTGATGTAAACAGCAAGTCCACTCCCAGGGTTGTTATGTTCTCCCACTTTAACTAAGAAGCATCAACTTGTAAGGGCAAAGGCATTAAAATCACGCTTACTGGACCACATCAACATCATCACTAAAGGCAGCATTTGCAAGGGCTGCTAATGGGGTAATAATTCCCCTTCACAAGGGAAGCACTACTCACTTGCAGCATCCAGCTTTCAGGGGAGCTGTATGGGTGTTTAGTCTTCTGTATGATTCAACAGCAGGCCAAAGCCTAATTTATAGACATTGTTCTAATCCCATGCCTGTCCTTGGGGACTGCAAGTAGACTTGTTCATGCCTCAAAGACTTCATTGTAACTTCCAGACCAATCTAGTGTTTTATCAACCTTTGTTTCTCCATCCTCTTCCCCAATACACAGACACTGCTGGACATATTCACTGGTGTGAAGCTGTACCTATCGCCCTCGGTGAAGGATTTCAACAAAATCCGTCGCTACTTCATAGCCTACGATGGTGATCTTGTGCCAGAGTTTGACACAGCCTCAGCAACGCATGTTATAGGGGACATTGATGAGAATCCTGGTGCTAAACGTGTATCTCCCAAATGGATCTGGGAATGCATCCGCAAACGGAGACTGGTAGCCCCATGCTAGCAATCTGGGGCAGCTGACTGGTCTTAACACTGCTACACTTCAGGAACTCCCTGAAGGGAACAGCTGAGAACTAGGTAGGTGGAAGAAAGGGTGAGATTCCTCTGTGGGGATGTAATAGAAATGAAATGCTCAAGTCCATCAGAGGTAATTCTCAAGGTCCATAGCAGCTATATGGAATTAATTAAAACAACTCTGAGGGACACTACTGCTGAATCCATTTTTCTGCCCATAATGTAGACCAATGCACTTAATATCTAGGTGCTGGTTTCATTTCTGTGGGTTTTTAAAGTTTGGGTATTTTTATAAATAAAGCAATAAAACTAAAATAGCTTCTCCTTTGCTGTCAGGACATCTTTTCTAAAGGTTATTCTCTTATCAGGACAGGACATCAGACCACCAAATATTTGAAACTATACATTGTAGTGCCAGGATACTTGTGCTGCATGGCTACAACTTACACAAAGGACACCTCCTTCAGCTGGTCTGACTTTCATTTTTCCCCGTCTTGTAACATTCAGCACAGATCTATAATACAGTAGCAGTTTATACTTCTGCATGGGTTTCCTATTAAAAAATGAGGTACCAAATAAGCTTTCCTTACAACACTTGCTGCAACATTATCTGCTCATCCTCTTGGAGTATTTGTTTTCCAGAACAAGTTACTTGGGTTTTGCTCTTCAAGTTTCATTAGTAAAATTGAGACAGGAATTCTACCATCTGGATGTCAGAATAGTTGAGACCTTCTTAACTGAAGCTGTTTAGAACTACTCTAAGTACTTGAATATTAATTATCAATAAATTAAAATCAATTTTTAAAGCCTGTTTTGCATATGATGATGTGCACTTGCTGGATAAATATGCATGAGCTCCGAAGGTGTAGGCTCAGACTGCGTGTGTATGTATAGTAGATGCAAGTTGACCAGCTTATTTCCTCTTCCGTTGCCTTAGTTTTGAGGGTTCAGAGACAACTTTATGAATATTACAAAGGAGAAAGCAAAGATGAAGTTAGGGTTCTCAGTTATTTTTCTCCCCTTCAATATCTACATACTTGTTTGTATCCCACTCTATAATGGTATTTAATCATAGTGTATCCCAAGCTTTTTCTGGTTAAAAATCAGAAGTAACTCTGCTTTGTCCTAGCTTGTTGGCAACAGAAGCAGAAAACAAAGTTAACTAAATCACATTTCAAGTTTATTATAAAATTATAAAGCAAACTTCTGTACCAAAACTAGTAGGTTTAACCATTGTAGTACCAAGAGGGTTTTTTTTAATAGAGAAAAACATGCCATTTCAAGTAGCATATTAACTTTAAAATATTTAAACCATGTACAGTGTACATAAAGGACATAAATATTTCCATTTACTATATTAGTTTAGATCATTATATTCCTTTGGATTATTAATCACTTTCTTCCTGGATTTTGATTTCCCTTTAAAAACAAGTCAGTCATATCCATGAAATAGAAAGCATTTTTGCAAGGGAAAGAATGTAGTCAAAAAAAAAAAAAGTTTTTCCCTTCAGAAAGCACACTTCAGACTCAGGGTGGGTATATCTTATCTTCCCATTGCTAAAATTTCAACCACTGATGTGCAACTTGACTTATCTGTTATAGAAAATAAACCTACTCTCTACAATAAAAGTAGATCTGTCCACAGGAGAATAATCTTCCTGTTAAATACCCCCCAGTCCTGAGTTTATTGAAAAAGGATGTGAATCTTCACAGTGACTTTACTAATGAGGCTGTTCAAAGCTTTGTATGTATATTACTGTACCTCTTAAAGAGTAAATACAGTTAATGCTTACCTGCTTTTTTTTTTTTTAACCATGATGCATTGAACTGTATCAGTTCTCTTCTCATGCTGGAAGCTGTTAAACCTTAAGCCAAAGGTTAGAGAACAACCTGAACAGGGGAAGAGGTAAAACTCAGCATTTTCATTTAAATAAGCCTCAGCAGCTCTTATTTTTATCAAGTTTAGAGGCCACCTCAATAGCGCAGAGGTTCTGTTAACTACTGAGTGACAGACTTCTTTGTCTTAAGTGCTTAACTTCTACTTGCAAAGTAGAGACCCTCCACTCTGTGCCTGTTGAGAAGTGAGTTGCTACTCCTATGATATGCATGTTAAATATTACAACAGTTTAATTTACTGTTAACTCATTCCCACTTACTGCAAAAGTAGAGGGCTTTGGTGATCATTTCTATAACTGCACTTCCCAGGATTCCAGAGGCTTTAAGTCAACACTTGTTTTTATGCTCTGTTGACACCCATGCAGTGTGTTTGAATGCTCAATGATCATCAGAGCATAAAGGGGAAAGTTGGATAGGAAAGAACTGCAGCAGAAGGTACTCAACTTCACACATTGCTTGAACTGATTATGTAGTGCCACAGTGGCTGAAAAATTAAGGCATCAAGATTCTGAAACTTACACATTACCAGCCACAGGGACAGGCTACTTGCACTGAGGGAAAATAGGTTAGTTACAGTTTGCTTTAGTAAGGCTTCCAAAGAAACACTGCTTTTCACAAGGATAGCTCTAATATTTTGTGATTGTCACCTGTCAGACCACAAAGTCTCTTATCCACCCTCACAAAGATCACAAAATAAATTGTTCTTGCTAAGCAGGCTTAATGCAAGAGAACTAAAACTGAAAAAAGGGAAACTGATTAATACACAGAAGCCTCTGCAGTTCACTTCTGCTCATTTTATTGACTCAGGGAAAATAAAGTTTGCCTCTGCTTTCTTCCAGGTCTCTTCTAAAAAGAAAGTCACCTGTACTTAAATATGATTGTGTAGCAATAGAACTCATACACTTCAGCTGTATGTTTTCCTCACAAAACCAGAAAGACACAAGCCTTAGCTTCTTAACTCCTTAATCACAGGAATTCAGTTCAATTTTAAAGCAACTACTGGCATATATTGTAAGGAAGCCTATGAATCCAACAAATCAACAGCAGGCAAACGAGATATTCCCATCCTAGTGGCACAAAAAAAAAAAAAAAAAAAAAAAAAAAACACCAGGCAAGATAAGGCTGTATGTTTCACAGTCTCAGTCCCCTTACATTTTTCAGTAATACAGAGCCCACCTTCAAATAAAATGGTACATTTTTCCACAATCCCACTAGGCTGGAATTAAGTTCATTCTGAATACAGAAATTGGAGGCAGGCTGCCTGTCCTGCAAGCATAAGTTAAATTGAAAAAAAATATATTCATTGAAAATTAAATTGACAGTGAATAGTATGTTGCATAAACACAACATGGGGGAAGTAGAATCAGAACTCAGTAGCAGCTAAACACATCACTTTTTGAGACCCCAGTCTATTTTGTTTATTATTCAGGGGGAAAATCAGAAGCTTCAGTATCTAATATTTGTGGTGGAAAGACAGGCATCTGTTTATCTCCCACCAGTGGATCACGTTACTCTAGAATGTTGGTTATTAATTATTTCTGTCTGCTGCTGGCAATAACGTCCAGGGAGTCCAGGCACTGTGGTGTAAAACGGTACAGTGGAAAGGGCACAGCCAAACATAGCTTGAGTAAGAGCAATTTTCCCCAAGCTTCATTCATCCCTCACTTCCAGCTTCCAGTACAGTCCACATCCTAATCTCTGACCTAACTATCTGTCATAGTTTTGACCATTTCCCTAACAGCAGATGAGGCTTTAAGGCATCACCAGTCTTCCACTTAGGACCTAAAGACATGAACAGCCCTTACAACGTACTGCCTGCATATGGGACATTCGCTCATTCGCTTTCCACATTTAGTGCAGGTGACCAAGTGGCCGCATTCTAGCAGGACACAGTCAGCGGGTAAGTCCATGCAGATTTTGCAGAGGTTGTCCTCCGTGCCAGAGCGCCCAGCACCACCTAAGTAAACAAGAGACCACAGTTTGCATGAGACAAAGAAAGGTATGTCATTGTGCAATCTGTGAGTTGTCTTTAGCAAAGGGCTTCTAATGTACTTTGCACACTGAAGATTTGGAAAAAGTCCCCTTTGCATCTACAATAATTTAGGTATACCTGCTCCATCAAATGGCAAGGAGTAGAAGGCTTTAGCTTTTACACGGTACTTTCTGTATGATGAAAAGTACCACTGAGATTCTTAGCAATGACACAAACAAAGCAACATTAAGAATATCACTTACCCATTTGATCGTCAGTGTCAGAAACTGCAACATAAGAAGAAAAAGTTATTTGGTGGGAATAAGAGAAGCTGGGAAAAAAATTGCTCCAGCAGTACTATTAAGCAGAAGGTGAAAGCCTCGAAGGGAGATTACTAAACCAAAACAAACAAGGCTCCTTTTTCCTGATCCCCATGCAGAGGTTCACACATTCTGTGCAAGAAACTTTCTCTTCTACTGAGCTTACGTAACAGTAACTGCTTCACAGAGATAAGCGACTATCTAGAATGATATCTCAATCTTTAAGACAGTCGGAATTTATGCAATGTAGCTTCCTAGAGCTACTCTTTCAGTAGCCCCTTCTGCCAGTTTCTTTGATGTTACACAAGCTCACCAATATTGTTGAACATAGCTGAGACACATGCACACACTGGGTAACTAATCAAGAAAAGTATTATAAATTCTGTCAAAAGCGTGAAATGCAGCAAAAGAAGAACATGAAAATGAGGTGGTTGTCTTAAATCTTTTATCATATGTGTAGGACAAAGCTTGGCGAGATGTTTAAAAAACAGCACTGCTTTGGACAACAGCAAGAAACAAACCTCTCTCTAAAGTCAAAGCATTAAAATATACTTCTAAATGTACTTCTGGAAACAACTTGCAAACTTGGGGGGGGGAAGAGGGAGGGGTGTTTTTTAAACTAATCATCAAGAATTGCACACTGGGACCTGAAAGTCAAGCACGATGCATCCTCTCTGCACTTCTGGCACACCACTATCTCTTCATCAGTCAACCATGCAGGCACAGCAGGTGCAGGTCATGCACATGAAGGTTCCCCATGTGATTAAAAGGACAGAACCAAGGGACAGATAACCACAGCCGTTCAGAAGCGGAAGCCACAGTCACTGACTACATGTCTCTTCTCTACAGACCAGCTACTAGTCATTGCCTTAGCTAAGGCATTTTCTGGCTCACTTTGCCAGTTACCACAAGTCAAGTGCTGAAAGCTCACTCTAGCTCTTGCAGTCCTGTCTGTAGCCATACATCAGCTGTTCTGTGTGTGCTGGAGCAACCAGCACGATCTGCCACAGCTGTACAAAGTCCTGAGTTGGATGGCACATGGTTCTCCTTTATTGCTACTATGGGGAAGTCACTCTCCACAGCTTGCATAATGCTCTCCTCTTAAACAGATACAAACAGTGGCAAGTAGTGTGCTACTTTCACTCTAATTCAAGCTTGATACAGTACCTCTACTCTCACTTGCAAGAAAAAGAAACAAGGTAAGTTCTACTCCCTTCTGCAACTGTCTGCAGAAAGGGAGAACAGGTACATGCTTGCTAAATTTCTTACCTAGATGCTGAAGGTCTTTCTCTTTGTAAAGACGAGCCACCCTCTCTAACAGCTCCCACTTTTCACAGCAGCCTTTGTAGTTGACAAAGTTGCGAGCAAGAATTTCCTTCAGCTGTCGCACAGAGAGTGCATTGATGTCTCCAATGCTTGTTAGATCAGAAAGAGAAGCCTTCCTCCCCAGCACCAGGTTATCTCCTGAGTGAGTAGACTGAAAGGGAACAAAGACGGAACAATTCTTGCTCTCAGCAACCACCAATGCAATTTAAGTAAGCTTTCAACACAGGAATTATCAGGAATTAGTGTTTGGACATACACGTAACTTCAATTATTCTGTGAATGCCTCCATTTATCAGA